TCTTAAAATCATTAATACCACTCAGATTTTTGCCAATTAAAAGCATATCATCCACATATAACAGCAAATACACACTTACATCATTATTTTTACCCCTTTTCAAATAAAGACAATGCTCAAATGAGCTTCTCATAAAACCAATAGATGACACAAAGTCATCAAACCTTTTGTACCATTACCTAGGTGACTGTTTTAGGCCATATAATGATCTTTTTAAAAGACACACATAATTAGGTCTTTTCTTATCAATAAATCCTTAAGGTTGACACACATATATAGTCTCATCAAGATCGCCATGTAGGAAAGTAGTTTTAACATCCATTTGCTCAAGTTCAAAGTCATATTGCGCTACTAAAGCAAGCATAACCTTTATGGTGGTATATTTCACAATCAGGGAAAAGATCTCATTGTAATCTATACTAGGTTTTTGAGTAAATCCCTTTGCCACTAATTTGGCCTTAAATCTCAGGGGATGTTTTGAAGAATTTCCCTCTTTAATGCTATAAATCCACTTACAACCCACTATGGACTTTCCCTCAAGTTTAGGAACTAAATCTCAGGTGTTATTCTTTCTTAAGGATCACATTTCTTCTTCCATGGCTTGTTGCCACTCTTTTGAGAGTTGGCAACTAACAACTCATCATAAGATTTTGGCTCCTTAAAGGCCAAATCTTGATATAACAGAACAGCTAGGGACAAGTAATCATTCATCCTCACAGGTTCCCTAATTTTATCCCTGGCAAGGAGATAATCATCTAAAGGGTTTCTTTGATCACTATTTGACTCTTGAACGCTGATTTCATCTTGCACATTTGAATCAGACACATCAACCGCTTCAGATTCACCTTGACCCTCTATGTATTCAGGGGTAGTCTGGTGTTCAACATGCAGCCTATTAACTTTTTCATTTTCATTTTCATGAACTTCTTTGGGATTTCTTTCACTAAGGCAAGGCATATCAGATTCATTAAAGGTCACATTTCTACTTGTCAACATCGTAAAGCCCTTATTTTCTTTCACCCAAAACCTATATCCTTTCACTCCTTCAGGATAACCCATCAAAACACATTTCTGGGATTTAAGCTCCAATTTTCCCACATTTTGGTGGGAATAGGCTGTACAACCAAAGGTCCTTAAGAGGGTATAATCTGGTAAGTCCACATCTCCTCAGGTGTTTTTCCATTTGAAACACTAGATGGGTATATATACAGCTATCATAATAGCCTCTCCTCACAATACTTTTGGGACACCTAAACTAATCATTATGCACCTCACCTTCTCTAAAATTGTTTAATTCATTCTCTCAGCTACTCCATTTTATTGTGGGGGTATATGGTAATGATTTTTGCCTTAAAATATCATCAGTTTCACAAATTTATCAAAATTAGTATTACAAAATTCTAAGTCATTGTCTGTCCTTAAAATTTTAATCTTTTTAATCATTTGATTTTCAATTAAAATTTTCCAAGCTTTAAATTTTTCAAAGTATCTGATTTTTGCTTTAAAAAGAATACCCACACTTTTCTTGAAAAATCATCAATTAAGGACAGAAAATATTTATTTCCCCCTTGAGAGGGAATAGATGATAGGCCCCATAAATCAGAATGGATGTACTCAAGAATGGATGAAGTGCTGTGTTTCCCAGTATTAAAATGCAACCTATGCTATTTACCTAAGGTACAATATTCACAAAAGGGAACTTTAGAAATGATGTCTCTACCAAAAACCCCCTTTTTTACTTAAGATATGCAGGCCTTTCTCACTTACAAAGGCTAATCTATTGTGCCATTTCAGAGCTGCATCACTTTCTGTATTAGAGGATTCTGCAACGTGACTTAATATAATGGCCCTAGTGACATATATACCATTTCTTTTTATGCCTCTGAAGATAATTAAGGAACCCTTAATTATTTTCAGATGACCATCTCCAAACCTGCCTTGCAGGCCTGTGTCATCTAGATTACCCATGGAAATCAGATTTATGTTCAAGTCAGGGACAAACCTTACCTTTTATAAGGTAAAGGTATATCCATTTTCAAATCTTAAAGTCACACTACTTATCCCTTTAACCTTGCAGGCCACATTATTACCCATGACCACCTCTCCCCCCTTCAAGGTCTTTAAAGTCTTCTAACCATGTTCTTTTAGAGGTTATATGAAAAGTACATCCTGAATTAATAGCCACTCAACTATCTGATCACTGTTATCTGCAAAATTTGCAATATTCAGATCAGATGTAGGGTTAGTCACTACATAGACATCCATAGGTTTCTTCATCTAAATGTTCAACAACATTCCCTTCATCTACTTTGCCTTCCCGCTGTTCATTCTTTTTCTTGAAACGGTCTTTGATGTAATGTCCAGTTTTACAACACCCATAACACTTCCTATTTCCATTTCTAGACTTTGATCTAGGCCTCCCTTTCTCCTTCTTTTTAAAGGTATTATTCCCTTGATTACTTTGACTAGCTTGACCATTTCCTTGCCCAGTAAGTGGTCTATCTCTAACAAACAAATTTTCACTCTCCCTACCCTGTCTCTCAACTTTAACCTCCAAATCCTTACTCCTTAAGGCATTGACAACTATTTTTAGGGTTAAAGTCTCCCTACCATACTTAATGGCATTTTTGATATCTTTATAAACATCAGGTATGGAGTTCAAGAGGATCACAACTTTGTATTCTTCAGACACTTTATCACCAGCATTAGTGATATCTTGTACTAATTTATTAAAGGTATGAAGATTATCATCTAAATCTTTAAATAGGTCAATCTTAAAGCTAAAGAGTCTTTCTAATAGGAATTTTACCCAATAAAGTTCTTCTAATTTTTCTCATAAGTTTTTAGCATTATCAAGTTTCCCTACTTTTCTTAGTACTTGATCAGATAAATGAAGAATAATAGATATGTAGGCAAGTTCATCACATTCAGTTTTTTGTTCCTCAGTCATGGTAGCTGGATATTCACCAGTAATAGACTTTGAAATTTTATGTTGGATAAGAACTCCTTTCATTTTTTGTTGTCAAACGGGGAAGTCTCCTTTTCCATTAAAAACACCCAATTCAAAAGTGGTTCTAGTCATTTTGAAAAGCAGGTATTTTAACCAACACAAGAAACATTTGAAGTCAATGTCCAACAGCAGGTCATAGGAAATACAGTCACAGTTATAAGAACAGTACACAAAGTAATACAACTATAACAGATATCAAGTACTATAAACTGATAACAACAGATCAAGAAATATCAAAATTAGCAAGGCAATCACAAAAAAAAGAGAAAAAAAAAGAAGGAATAATGAATCAACACGGTGTGAAAGGATTCCATAAGGTTCACGACCTCAGGTCCAGGCTCAATCCACACCACATGTTTCAAGGAAGGAGGAATTATACAAACAATAAAGAGGCACAATAATATGAAATTGGTTTAAGGTTAGAGAAAAAATTTTAACCGACTGCTTTGAAATTTCAGCAACACAGGAGATTTCAATAATCACTAAGAACAATAGATCTCAAGAAGAGATTTCAATCAGCACCAAGATCCGCTACCAACGAGATCTAGGGTTTCACAAACTTTCAAATCCTTCCAGATCCAATTATGAAAATCAATTTTTCACAACCAAATCGTAAGGAAACAGACTCGATTCACTAAGACAAGGCTCTGATACCACTGTAATAACAAGATCTAAAAATATCAAAACACAAAACATATTTTGAATGAAACATTGACATCAAGATCTGAATATTTAGGGCTCAGAATACATTGTACCCGCATGTACACCACCAAAACAACCACAACCCCCAGCCTCAAAGATCAAAACAGAGGCAGCTACTTCTATGGTTCACAAAGATCACCCAAAACACAAAATACACCTCTCAAACTATACAGCAAAGAATCACCAAGACTCAGTATGTACAAATCTCTCAAAAAACAAGAAGTTTTAGAAATTACAGAGAAGTCACAGAGACAAAAGACGAGAGGAGACACAAAGTCGAAGAGAGAGAGAGAGAGACTAGAAGCTTCTCACACAAGAAAAATCAGATGAATCATAATTAGGGCACCACTTAAGGCCTATTTATATCACAAGTCATCACCATAGATCTCAAACCAGGGCAATCCAAGGAATCAGAGCAACACACGTATTTATCTCATTGGGCTAGGTTTTGGGCTCAATTTCAAGTCGCGTTATTGGGCAATGGGTGTAGTATCTGATTAAAAGGCTGGGCCTTTGCTTCATCATTGCCCACACATTGGATTGGGCCAATTAAATTGGCATCTAGCCCAATAATTTGTAAATTCAATTCAATAAAAGTCAACCCTAGGGTGCTCTAATAATTAGAATTTAGAGAAAACAATGTAATAATCCCAAGGACCGTTGATTGATAACAGGTTCTGAGTCGGTTTATTTGAAGATACCATAATTAAAAAGTCATGATAGTCGTCACAAGCTGTTTTTTAGAAAAAAATAAAATAAAATTAGATAATAAATACATTAATAAATAAGCGAATAAAATTTTTTTTTTTTTTTTTTTTTCCCCCTTTTTTTTCCAAAAAAAAAAAAAATTTTTTTTTTTTTTTTTTTTTCCCCCTTTTTTTTCCAAAAAAAAAAAAAATTTTTTTTTTTTTTTTTTTTTTTTTTAGAAACAACTAGGATTTACATATGATATAATACCGTTAAGAAAATCACGAAAAAATTGTGCTTGAGTGAGACAAGTGTGAGCTATATCTTCTACCTCATTGTTTTATCCCCTCAAACCACGAATTATTTGAATTAAGTTTTGTTGCCAAATGAATTTGACATCTTTTGTTGACAGAAGAAGATGTGTAAAAAAATGGCACGTTTAGGTGATGGGGTTCAACGTGATTTTAAACTTTTTGTATTTATTTGTTTAATAAAATTAAAATAATAATAATAATAATAAAATAAAAATAAAAAATTGAACCACCCAACTTGTCTTGCAAACTTATAAATATGGAGTCGGTCCAACGGACGTGTCAAGCCCTCACGATCCTGGCCTAACATTACCCAAAGAATCCCATTGCATGATGGAGCATGATTCCTCCTCCATACACCGCACAGCCTCGAGTAAACAGTCAGGTTAAAAGATTGTCATCCACAGAAGAAATGAGGATATCATCCGATAAGGTATTCCCATATCCCAACAAATTATCAATAGAACAAAGCTAATTAGGGCAAATCATCAGTGAAATTGGGGAATTATTTCCCATATGCAGATGATATTTTGTGCGTCAAATTCTTTATCTTATTCATGGACGATTCGTCCCAAGAGCTTATTTAATTGGAATTTTGGCAACAGCAAGTCGAGCAAGGCTGAGCCCTTTTACCATGACGACGTTGATCTTCAATTCCCATCTTCTCTGCTGAGCAAAACATTCTTGAAGGGTAACTTTTTATTTCATAAGTTACTTTTTTCTTACTTCTAGTTTAAATCAATTAACTAGTACTTATTATTGAATAAAGTAAACCTTTAGGCAAACACGTTGTAACAATGTTTACATTCATATAAAATATTTCCAAGTAGAAATTGTTGAATAGGTTATAGCCGGATATGTTTGGTACTCAAAATTAAACGTGATAACAGATAGCTTGTTTACTTTAACGTGCTAATGAACTTACTTATTTGTAATTTTAATTAATAAATTATTGTTTATTTTAAGATTTTAGTAATTTATATAACTTTACCTATAGGGCTCATTTGTCACTTATCTAAACTATAAACATAATCGTTCAAGCTTACTTTCTTATCACATTTCATATGACTCAAAAATTACTATACGTCCACTTATATCCACTACTCATTTATATCTATTTATAATTTAAGCCAATTATGATCCATTCCCAATTAAGATTCTATTGAAGGGTAAAAAAATCACAATGACCTCTTTGCTTTCTAACAATTAGTCACTTAACTAGTTTTTTATTTTTTTTCTCTCTAATAATCACTATACTTTTAAAGTTGTTTTCTCGCGTTCACCAAACTTTTAATATTGTCTCCCATATGTCACTCCATATCATTAAAAAGGGTAATTGACACAATACCCCTTAATGTTTGCTTGTTTTGTGGAACACCCCTAACAATTGTTCTAAAATGCGTGCATATGCTTGGGGCATTTCGAAACGCCATGCATATGGGTATGCACATGATAACGCGGTCAACCCATTTCGTTGACCACATATAGACGTCAAAATGCACATGCATTTGTATTTAAAATTGTGTCCAAATTAGCCTAGGAAAGCTCAATCCGTTTTTATAACTTAAAAAAAGCAAATCGGGCCTAAGAAAACATCAAATTAGCCCAAATCACCCAAAACCCATGAATTATATATAGAAATCTGAAGGGTTTTGACATTTAGAAAATCAAAATAAACTTTTCGTAGAGTTACAAAGTATCTACGTCGAGCCCGAGCCTCTTTTTTCTTCCATCTTCCTCTAGTCTTACAGTTGAGATCTTAATCGAGTTTGTAGAAACTTAAAGGTGCATTTTTCATTTTTATATCGCTGACCTAATCAGAACTTTAAAGGTTCTTCTTCTCATATGATTTTAAATTTCTGGAAAGAATATTTATCGAACTCGTCCTTCTTTAGGTTATAATGATATTGAAGGTTCTAGTTTTTTATCAAATTTTATTCTTGCTCCAATTTTATTAGGAGCCAATGGAGCAAAATGATTCTTCCATGGCATTTAATTCTATTTCTGAAAATAATGAGTTGAAAATTTTGGAACATATTTATAAAGTTCAAATAATTGTAGTATTAATGATTTTGAACGATATGTGTATATATGTATGTGTGTGTGTGTGTATATATATATAGAAAACCTGGAGAATGTGTTTAAGGTTCAAAGAATGTATTATTTTATTTATTTATTAGTTTTGAATATTTATAATGATATTACAAATTGAAAAATGCATATTAGCGTATACTTTGCATATGCACGCATATGCTTGTAGTGCTTAATGCTTAATGCTCAATCGAATCACATTGCCCCGCATTATGCATTGTCTCTAACCTTTCATTTTGGTGCAAAACTCTCCTAAATCACCCAAACATCGTGGAATAGCTCCTTCCATCTGCATCTTCTAGTTTATGCTTTTAAAAATAGTAAAAGGGCCAAAATTAATAAAATCTCTTGGGATATTTTAGTCTCTCCAAATCCAAACACTTACCTGAGGCCCTGCTTGTTTGAAACACAAACCATGATAGAAATCAACAGGCAATAGTGATGTAGAAATCCCAAGAATCGTGGAAAAAATTACATTAGCAATTGTTTTTCGCGAATTTATTCATTGGAGAAGTATATGCATGCCATTTTGTTGTATTACGCTGTTCTACAGTTTTGTACTCTGCTGGTTTAGATGGTTAAAATTAATTCTGTAATATACTAGTTAGGATGGTGTTTGTTGTTGGATTAATATCTGCCTTTAGTGTTTTATTTTGCTATCTTCTGTTGTAACGTCTGATATATTGTTGTTTTATCAGAATATTATTAGTTTCTTTTGTTGATTTCAGCTTTCTGCGGGATTCTTTTGTTGATTTTTGCTTTCTACTCGTTAACGCCTAATTTAGGGTTCTTTTAAGCAATTTTTACCATTTCAGGGTAGTATTCCACAAGTTTACCATTTTCAGGTTGTATTCTGCGAAGTTTGCCACAAACGTTTCACAAATAGGCCTGTTGTTCTTCCTCCTCAATACACACAAGAAAATTCAGAATTAACACAGCAAAACCAGAAAAGTTGAACTAAAAATTGCAGCAGAAGACATCTGTATATAACACTACATGAGAAATCAAATACATTGGAGCTATACAATAATGGAATCCTTCATTAACATCCAATACCCAAACAATAACAAAACTAAAAGTCTAATTTTCACTATTCACTGCCCACTTATATACTATTAATTTCTATATTTTGGTTGAATCATGGGGTTCTTCCGTTTAAATGAACAGTTGGTTTTTCTCTCGGTTTTCCAAGCAAATGTAGCCTTAAGTGAGTGTACGGATATGAAAAGACAGAAATTCTCTTTGAGGCTTTATTGATTTTGGCTGTTTATACTGTTTTTAACATCTAAACTAAAGGATATAGATGGCAGGGGAATTCTAATTAACTATTCCGTTTACCACGTAATTGGAATTATGGACATAAAACATTAAAGCTACAGTGGCCACTGAGATTTTTGACCCAATATGTCAACATTTTGAACTTAGCCAAACATGCCTGCTGCAATTAAAAGTTTTCTTCATAAGAAATTGTTATTATTCCAGAAGGCACATATTTGATTTGACATAGACAAGACTTTAATTTTTTTTAATACTCTTCAATCTAACCTATTAAACATGTGACAGACATTTTTTTATTGATTGATGTTGAGCAGGTAGAGAACTGAAATGCTGCTACAGGGCCAGCCTTGATGGATTTAGTGCTACTGATTTCCACAAGTGTTGTGACTTCAAAGGACCATGTGTTATAATTGGGTACACAAACAAGTCCTTCAAATTTGGAGCATTTAATCCTGAAGGGTATAGAAGTACAGATGATTATTATGATACTTTTGATGCCTTTCTCTTTTACTGGGCACAAGAGAATGATCAAAATGAACCTTTTGTCCTACCCAAAATAGGGGGCAGTGGTGCTGCCCTTTTTGATTATGCTAGAGGAGGACCTCAATTTGGAGCAGATGGATTGCTTATTGGACCCCCATTAGCACCAGTTATGGGTGGATTTGCAGGGCCTGATACGAATTCGGGTACATAAAGTGAAATTTCAAGTTGATAGGTTACTGCCCTTATGTTTCAGTTTTGATGGGTTAGAATTTTATTTTTTCTAAAGAAATGTTCAATGTGGAAGACCTCCATGTAGATGTCGTGCCAGTGCAAAACATTTATGGTCCAATATTCCCTAATCCAATATCCTCGGTCTTCTTGTCAATGAAAAAGAAATGAAATCTTGATCTCCTAAATACCTCCTTCCCCTACCGCACGTCACTACCTTCATCAAGCCTTCCCTTTAAGGGTTGGGGGTAGCATTCCCTTATACAAACTTGACAGGCATTCTTTCCGCTGAGGGTTTATTTTTTCCTTTTATTTCCCGAACTTCCCTCATTCGACAGGCAGATAAAGCTATCTTTTATAGTTTCAGAGCAATTGGAAGACACTTTGAATTCTGTATGAGGTTTGGAGTTTTGGGGAGTGTGTGTGTGAATTTGAAGAAATCAAAGAGGGGAATGGAAAGGCAGCCAGAATTACCAAGAACGGATGGTCTTCTGCGTTGGACATTAATGTATCTTAATTGAGTAAACAATTGAAACAAATGATAAACATGAAACTTTGCTATAATTTGAGTGACTAACGACAGTTGTGTCTTCTTCTTTTTTTTTTTTGTAAATACAGGGATTGGTGTTTTGAGTGAAGCTAAGTCTAGATTGGGACTTTCTTATGCTAAAAGGGAAGATGGGAAGGAATCCTTATTTGGGGATGAGAGTAGGGCTGTTGTTGATGAAGTACTTGTATTCTGTAGTCCACAAATTGCAAGCCTCTATTGATATTTGACAAATATATAACGTATGTACTATGCATTGATATCCTTTTTTAGTTGAAACCATCAGAAATTCAGAGTTCGAACATTTTATTCTTTTTGAATTTTTCTGACTACAGAAATGTTTCGAGGAATGTCTTTGTAGTTATGTTGCCTCTTATTACGTTTCCGTTTGAGTCTCAATATCCGAAAATTCATTTTTTTCTTCAAACTCATTTTCAACAATACATTCTTCCAATTAAATATTTTGTATGGGGATCCAAAACTTTTTCGTACCTTTTAATTTCATCTTCTCAAAATATCACTATTACAAAACTCATTTTTCACCAAAAAAAGAAAAAATAAAAAGAAAAAAAGGGACTGAAATAGACTTTGTACGTAGTTCATCGTAGTTACAATTCTTAAACTTTGTATTTTTCTTGTTAAACAAGTGGGAACTCGTTCTTTCGAATATCCATTTATTAAATAATCAATCAATGGGATCCAAACGTATTGTTTGGATACAAGATTCTTTGGATGAATTTTAAATGAAGAAATGGTATCATCCAATGTTGCTTTCTTGTCTAATTGAATTTGTTTGGCCAACTTCATCGAAGAAAGCATTGATAAGCTCAATTTTAAAAAAAAAAAAAAAAAAAAAAAAAAAATTAAGGATATGAACATCCTATCTTCGAGAAAACTTATAAAATGAACGTTGAGCAAAGTTATTTACCAGAAACTCGTGAGCTTAGACGAGAGGTGATGCGAACCCGATAGCAATGAACACTAACGAACCCACAACTAGATTGATGCGGAATCCAAGAACACCAAATAATCGATGGTTTTGGATTTAATCCCCAATCAATGAACTAAGCAACCAAAAGTATATAAACTAGTGACCTCTTAATTACATGGAATAGGAATCTCACCTGGATAATTGTGAACGCCACAAAAAATAATGAATTCCTTGATAAGTTCAATTGTTCTAGTAAGAACAAGGATTGGAAGCAAAATCGCTCCTTGAATAGAATCTCTCAAATTGTCAAAAGGTCCATTATAATGAAAATAATTTTCTATTTATATGAAAACCCTAAAATCTAATTAAGAATGGAAAAAAAAAATTACGTTCAAAATATTCAAAAGATGCAAAAAGATTAGAATTCTAGTAAAAATAGGAAACTTGCGAAAATTGCAACTTCGGTCCCCGAATTACTGCTATGCGCCACATAGAAGAAATCTTTGCGATCGCATAGATCAAACTGTGACTGCGTCAATTCCCTACACCTCCTCATGCGACCGCACGGTATATGTGCTATGCGGTCGCATAGCCTCTTCTTTGGCTTCACAATCCGGTTGTTTGAATTATGTGGCTTCAAGTTATTTCGGTCGCCGATCCCTTCATGTGACTTATCACTTAGCAAATTAACTTCACTTGCTCGGCCCTTAATTGTTCTTGAATGTCTCAAATGTGGCTTTGGCTTCGTCCAATCAATCATCATATCTTCAATTGGCGGCGCATCCCGGATCATATCAAGAGGGGCCATCGAATCCTCAGATGTGGGGAACTTTATGTTGCTTTGTATTTAGTGTGAATCGTATGATTTATGTGAAGTCAGTTGGGAATTTATGTTTGTCAGTTGATTTCATTAGTTAATTAATATTAGCTCATTATGACGTGTTGTTTTAAAATAGACCAACAAAGAAGACGAAGAAACAAATGTAGGAGCAATTGAAATAATAAAAAGAAATAAAATGAGGAAGAAAAAAAAAGGAAAAAAGAAAATGGAAAATAGCAACACCTCAATATTTGACAAGTGGTGCATTTGGATTCCCAAACTTCAAAACAGAAAATTTACGTCCCCTATTACCTTTGATTGTCCCCAAAATATGATTATTTTTTTTACTCCCCCAAGATATGATTTTACCTTCATCTTTAATTAACTAATCAAAATTATATTAGAAAAATAATTTTACCTTTATCATTAAATATTAAAAAAAAATTTGCAGGGTACACCCTTCCCTTTTACCGAATCACCTCCATTCTACTTAAATAAATAACATATTAACCAACGTAACAAAGAGCTGTCATGTAAAATAATATAAAACATGTATTCTATGAACAGAAATGTCTTCATTATTTGAACTATCATGTATTTTAAATAATAAAAAATGTCATCCAAAGTGTAATACGATTGATTTTCAATAAAATAAGCTTCATTGTCAAATGAATTTGACACATTTGTTGACAAATGATGTGTAAAAAAAAATGATAAAATCACATTGTTGACTTATATGAAATTTTGCCACAAGGCGTTTTCATCATCCAAGATGCCAGTGTAGCATGATTGATTTTCAATGAATTAAGCTTTGATGCCAAATAAATTTGACATCTTTGTTGACAGAAGAAGAAGATGTGCAAAAAAATGACTGGATCACATTTTTGACCTTTTTAAACAGTCCAATGAGATTCTACCAAATGACGTTTCTGTCATCTAGATGTCATCCTATTAGTGTAGCATAATTGATTTTCAATCTTTGCTGACAAAAGATGTGTAAAAGAATTGATTGGATTACATTGTTGACTTTTTAAAAACGTGGCATTTTGTCATCCTGGATGTCATTCAAGATGTTAGTGTAGCATAATTGCCTTTCAAAGAGCTTTTTTTGTTAGACGAATTTGACATTTTTGTTGATAGAAGAAGACGTGTAATAAATAATTGGATGACATTGCTGACTTTTTATAAACACTATAATGAAACTCTGCTACATGACATTTCTGTCATCCAAGATATTAGTGTAGCATGATTGATTTTCAATGAACTAAGCTTTGTTGCCAAATGAATTTTCGATCTTTGTTGACAGAAGATGAAGTTAAAGAATAAATGGATGACATTGTTGACTTTTTTTTAAACAGTTCAATGAAATCCTGCAACGTGGAGTTTCTGACATCCAAGATTTTAGTGTAGCATGATTGATTTTCAATGAAATAAGCTTTGTTGCCAGTAGTTTTTCTATTGTATTGGATGAATGATGTACCCTATTTCATATTTATTTTGATTTAAGACCATTAATTTATTAATTTTCTTGATTGATTTTGCATACTCATTACATTATTTAATTGATTGGCCACCAATTGAATAATTAGTTACTTGTTCTAGTGTTAGGAGACTTATAATAAGTTTAGAACACGGTAAAATTAACATATGTAGATAGAATTAGGAATAATCTTTATCACATATGCAATCACATAGATAACCTATAATTTAATACATTTTGAGCAAATAAATTCGGACTAGGAATATAATTGGGTAAATAGACTTAATTTGTTTTGGAAAAGAGAATTAAATAAATTAGTGTTATCGATTGTTATGAAGCATGAACTATATTACGAATCAAGAATTAAAATAAATGACAATAGGGGGATTCACGATTCCAATTCAAACATTCACGTATTTGAAAAAATACTTTTTATTGCTTCCTTAGTTTAGAATTAGTTTAAATAACAACAAAATCACATCTTTTGTGTCATGAACATCGAATTTAATAGTAACTAGTGAACTAGAATTAAACATTATTTCTCGTGGGACGATAACTCACAACTCACTTTATTATTACTTATCAACCATTCCGTACACTTGTGGATTTCATGCGAACAAGTTTTTGGCACCATTGCCGGGGAATAATGAATTTAATTTTAGTTTAAGTAGTTTAAATTTGATTTTTATTTTTATTTTGTTGATTTTGGCTATCCACGTTGATCTCTCTTATTTGGTATCTTTTTAGGTGCCATTCAGCCGTACATTTAGGATTCTGGCATTGGCATAGTAAAGGGAATTTTGCAATAAATAATCTTGACATGAACTATAAGGAAGAAGACATCTATTGTAAACTCTATTATGGGGTGCATTATACTGGCTGTTGCTTGAATACATGCACTAATCCCTATCAACGCAAGCTCCTACGATTTAAACAATATTTAAGATGTCGACGACTAGCAATTGACACATCTTTTGAATGCTACATGCCTGTGGACGAGTGTATCCCTTCTAACACTCTTTTGGGATTTGGTCCTTCAATGTTGAATGAAGAGGCACTTGCAAAATATTACACTGATCTTGCCAAGTTGGATGAAAGCAAACTCTATGTAGGAGATGGCGTATTCTGGTATGAATTTAAAAGGTGGGGGTATAATCCACTCGAAAAATTTGAAATAAAAGAGTTTCCATTACCCATGGATATAGATTGTGAACTGCCCATTCAACCCGAAGAGATATCAATTAGAAAAGTGAGAACAAAGATGATAAAAGTTCAATTACAAATGAACAAAATGAAGGGAAGGTAATTAATGAAGAAGACATTAACCCACATTCTGTCAACTCCATTGATTGCCCTATCATTGAATTTGTAATTAAGCCCGAAGAAGATGAAAAAGTCAACATAGTTGAATTTGAATCGAACAAGATAGGCAAGTCATATTACATTGGAAGGGGCAATACTAAAATTAGCAAAAGCAACGAAGAGTGGAGCAAAATCAAAAGAGGCAAACTAAACAAGGCATCGAAAACATTTTTCAAAATTCCATGATACTGAAACAATAAAGTCCAGCCTAGGACTTTAAACAAGCGCTTGTTTGGAGGCAACCCAATATTTTTATCCCTTTTAATTATAACGCTTTCTAGACTTAGGATAATTTAGAGTAGTTTTTATTTAATCATTAGGAGCTCATCATCCGTTTCTCGTTTCCCCTTAGATCCTTGAGATTTACTTGGTTTATTAGATGTTTGAAATGAGTAACACGTGTTCCAGGTACTTGATTTTTAATGCTTTATTTAAGTACATTGTGCAGGAACGTCGTGAAATACTTAAACCAACATTGACAAAGGAGATAACGAGAGCAATCAGACAAGCTAGCCATTGAATTTCATGGGCATATCAAGGGAGTATTCTCTTCTTTTTCTTCCCCACCCCTTATATGCGGACTTAAGATATAAGACATTGAGGGCAACGTTTGTTATAAGTTTAGGGGTAGAAAAACATTGATTTTGTATTGGTTTGCTTGTTTGAGTGCCAAAAAAAAAAAAAAATTGAAATTAAAAAAAAAGGTTTATTCTCAGCCTTTTTTTCTTTTTTTCCTTGTGCGGGTTAATTAAATTTG